GGGCACATACCTGAGTTGCAGGTTCGATCCTCAGTCCCATTCAGGGTGCATGCAGGAGGCAACCAAGTGACATGTCTCTCTCTCTCTCTGTCTCACCTTCTCTCACTCTCCCTTTCACTCTCTCTTAAAAAAAACCAAAAACCACCCTGGCTGGTTTGGTTCAGCGGTTAGAGCGTCGGCCTGCGGTCCTGAGAGACCCGGGTTCGGTTCCCGTACCTCGGTTGCAGTATGTCCCCGGCCCTGGTCAGTTATGCGGGTGGCAGCCACTCGATGTGTTCCTTTCACATCGATGTTTCTCTCTCTCTCTCTGTTCCTCTCTCTCCCTCCCACTCTACCTGAACAAAAAAATGGAAAAATGTCCTCGGGTGAGGATAAAAAAAAACAAAAACAAAACAAAAAGCCCTGCCCAGCTGGTATGGCTCAGTGGATTGAGCACAGGCCCATGGACTGAGAGGTCCTGGTTTGATTCCTGGTCAGGGCACATGTCCACGTTGCAGACTCCATCCCCAGTGGGGAACATGCAGGAGGCAGTGAACTGATGTTCTCTTTCACATCGATGTTTCTATCTCTCCCTTTCTCTCTCTCTTAAAAAAAAAAAATCAATAAAAACATATTAAAAAAAAAAAAAATCAATGGAAAAAATATCCTCAGGTGAAGATTAAAAAAAGAGTGGACTGTATACCACACACCATTTGAAAAGAAAAAAGACGAGCACACTGGGAGGAGTCTGCAAAGCAACAATCTGAAGATCTAGCACAAGAAAAAGGGGCAAAATTAACCTCTTAAGCAGGAAATACAAATGCATCTTTGAGGATACCAAGGGTTCTTGACCTGACCAGCAGAGAGATGCAAATTACACTGTCAAAAATTAAGCATTCTGACAATATCTAATACTAATAAGTGGGCAAAGGGGATCTCAGTAGCCAAGGTGGAAGCAGATTGGATACAATCCACCTCAGAGAACAATCTGACCTCAAATAAAACTGAATGCACGTAAACTACAACATAGCGTTTCCTACACACTGTGCATGAAGATGTGCTCAAATATTTAGAGCAGCACTGGTTCTAAAAGCACAAGCCTGGAAGCCATCGAGATGTCCGGCCATGCAGAATGGATCAACTGGAGTCTGGTCACGCCACATCTTGAGCTGCATGTAATCCAAAGACTCTCAATGTTGAATTTAAGTTTCTTTTTTGTTATCCTCACCCCAGGACATTTTTTCTTTTTCTTTTTTGGCATTTATCTTCAGATAGAGCGGGAGGGAGAGAGGAAGGAAGAGAGAGATAGAAACATCGATGTGAGAGAGGCACATCGACTAGTTGCCACCCACACAACGCCAACTGGCCGGGGACAAACTGCAACCAAGGTACGTGCCCTTGGCGCAGCAGTTCTCAACCCGCGGGTTGTGATCCCTTTGGGGGGTCGAATGACCCTTTTACAGGGGTCACCTAAGACCATTGGAAAACACATATTTCCAATGGAACTGAGACACCGCTCCTCTATCCATCTCCAGGCGGGTCCTCCCACATGCAGATACACCTACATACAATATGAGGAACTGTATCAAAGGGTCGCGGCATTAAGAATGCTGAGAACCACTGCCTTAGCGGGAACCAAACCCGGGACTCTCCGGTCTGTGGGCCGATGCTCTAACCACTGAAAACACTGGCCAGACGGTTTGGCTCAGCAGTTGGAGCGTCGGCCTGCGGTACAGAGAGACCCGGGTTTGGTTCCCGCTAGGGGCACGTACCTCGGTTGCAGTTTGTCCCCGGCCCTGGTTGGTCGTGCGGGTGGCAGCCACTCGATGTGTCCCTTCACATCAAAGTTTCTCTCTCTCTCTCTCTCTCCCCCTCTCTCCCTCCCGCTCTATCTGAACAACAAATGGAAAAATGTCCTCGGGTGAGGATAAAAAAACAAACAAACAAACAAAAAAAAACTGGCCAGGGCCCAATGTTGAAATTAAAAAAAATTTTTTTTCTTTATTGATTTTAGAGAGAAAGGAAAGGAGAGAAACATCAATGAGAGAACATCAACTGGCCACCTCCTGCATGCCGCCCACTAGGGATTTGGCCCACCACCTGGGTATGTGCCCTGACGGGGAATTGAACCGGTGACTGTATGGGTCAATGCTCAACCACAACCACTTAGCCACACAGGCCGGGCACAATGCTGAATTTTAAAAGTTGAAAAACACTCTGTGTACCATTGATAATTTTTAAAGATGCAAAACAATACCATGTACTGAGGGATATATACCTCCATGCTAAGATTTTTAAGAAATACATAAAGTCAGACTCAGTAGCCATTACATCCGCAGGGAGGGGCAACCATTTAGGACACAGGACAAAGAGTGATACAAGTGTGTCAATGCTTATTTCTCAGAATGAGACCCAGGAATATAGATTTATATTTCACTTTTATATGAGAAAATAACTTTCTAAATGCACATGGCAAAAATGTAGATGATGGCTTAGCCAGTGTGGCTCAGTGGTACTGAGCGCTGTCCCATGGACTGAGAGGTCCCTGTGCGATTCTCAGTCAGGGCACATGCCCGGGTTGCAGGCTCGATTTCTGGGTGGGTGGGGGGGTGCAGGAGGCAGCCAATCAATGCTTCTCTCTCACATTGATGTTTCTCTCCCTTCCTCTTTCTCTAACAAATATATATATATATATATATTTATATATATAAATGTAGATGATGGCATCACAACCCGTGTGTGAAAAGGTAGATGTAAGAAAACATCTTATCTGGGGAAGTACCACTGGGTATAAACTTTGAAAGAGATACAAACAAGACCCAGAGAGCCAAGCCCAGACCACTGTCACTTTACTCTCTGCCTTGTCACTGGTCTAACAGCTCTGGGCTCTGAAGCCTATATACTGGTCAGAGCCACCAGAGGTGGTTCTTTTAAAACCTTCCTTGCCCAGGGGACAGGGTGGGGAGGGTGGGAAGGGAGGTATCAGTGGGGGGAAAAGGAGAAACATCTGTAACAAAAATAATTAAAAATAAAATAAATAAATAAATAAATAAATAAATAAATAAATAAATAAAACCTTCCTTGCCCAGGCCCCACTAACTTCAGTGGGGGGAAAAGGAGAAACATCTGTAACAAAAATAATTAAAAATAAAATAAATAAATAAATAAATAAATAAATAAATAAATAAAACCTTCCTTGCCCAGGCCCCACTAACTTCAGTGGGGGGAAAAGGAGAAACATCTGTAACAAAAATAATTAAAAATAAAATAAATAAATAAATAAATAAATAAATAAATAAATAAAACCTTCCTTGCCCAGGCCCCACTAACTTCTAATACCAGAACTAGAGAATAGAGCAGGCTTACTTTTGTTCTCCAGGTGACTCTAATATGTAGCGAAGGTGAGGGCCATACAGATGCAAAATTGCCTAATAATTCAGGAATTCAGGGAAGGCCAAGTTAGAGCCAAAAATTAAAGGCCAAGTATGGCAAGTGTGTGCTGATGATACGGCTGAAGCTGCCATAGAGTTGCTATGCATGTCAGTGTGGACACAGCGCTGTTCCCGAGGAGGTAAGTGGTCAATGAGGCCAGAAGCGGCTGACCTAGTGGATTTCAGATGTCTACATGGTTAAGTGTTGTTAACACATGTCAACTGTGCAGAACCATGTTTGGCAGATATAAGCACTCAAAGTTAGCTACTTTTCAAGTAAAGAAACTGTTTTGGAGAAAGTGCTCAATAAAGTAGTTCAACAAGGATCATGTTTACTTTCATGCTTCATGAGAAGGTTCCCATACCTATGTGACAGAAACATAGCTCAGACCTCTTGGTCATCATGAGTTTGTGCACAATCTCTCAACAGCTAATTTGTGAAACATTATGAGGGACAAGAGACAGTTAACAGTAACTAGTGGCCCTGGACGGTTTGGCTCAGCGGTTGGAACGTTGGCCTGAGGACCAGAGAGTCCCAGGTTCAGTTCCCGCTAGGGGCATGTACCAAAAAAAAAAAAAAAAGTAACTAGTGAAGCTCTGTCTGGTTTTGCCCAGTGGTTAGAGCATTGGCCCACGGACCACAGTCCCAGGTTCGATTCCAGCCAAGGGCACGTGCCTCAGTTGTGGTTTGTCCCTGGCCCTGGTTGGGGTCATGCGGGTGGCAACCAGTCGATATGTTCCTCTCATATCGATCTTTCTCTCTCTCCCTTACATTCTGTCTGAAGATACATGTAAAAATATCCTCAGGTGAGGATTAAAAAAAAAATTAACTAGTGAAGAGCTCTAGAGAGCTCTTTCAGAGACTGAAAGAGAGAAAAATAAGTTCTTACTCTTCATCTACCCCTATATTATCTATTTTTTACAATGAGAATCTAATGGACAGTGTTAATTACAAAAATCCTGGTTGCAATAGGAAGTTAAGGTTGCTCTTGCTTTTAAGAGGAGACTCAAATGTCATTGAACTCTGAGTGTGAAGACGCTGAAGGTGGTTCTGGACCTGACAGGGACACACTGTCCCAGGCCAGGTTGCGGCGGTCAAGAGGGGAGGGGAGGACAGTAGCAGCAGGCTGTGGAGAGACCCATGGAGGCTGCCAGATGGCAGGGCTTCTTGTCAGCTGCTGGCTTTCTTCCACTCCCTGTGCCATCTCTGTCTCCTCGAGGAACCCCAAAGAGTATCACTGTGGATCCAGCCTGTCCCTCTGCAACCAATCCCTTCCAGACTATCCCGGAGCCCCCTAGAGTTTCCTTGGGCTGAGGTCACACCTTCTGCACGGTACCCAAACCCCCCCCCACCCCACCACCAGACCCTTTCTGCTAGAGGCCCAGAGCACATGAGAGATGGCACAGGAACACAGAACACTTGTCTCCATGACCCCATGCTATGTGACACTGGGAAAGCTTTGCTTGACCTGAGAGCCGTGTCTCCCCCAGGGGCAGGCAGCATCTGCCTGAGAGGATAAGGCTGAGAGTTGGTGAGCCTGGCTGCCTGGAAGGTATTAGAAGAAAATGAAAAGCCCTTCAGGGCAGTCACACAGGGTGGTTATTTCACTTTATTTAGCACAGTCTTGCTCTGGGCCCCACCAAACTGCTCCTCTAGACTCACTTGAGGGTCTGCCTTGGGAAGCTCAGAGGTGAACATGAAGGCCCAGGTCCCCCAACTGGCCTCTTCTTCTGCCACACACTCAGCGTAGCACAGAACAAATCCCTGCTCGTGTCCTCAGGTGCCCACCCCTGTGTGGCTGAGGGGCCTCCAGTGTTCAACAGCTGCCTACTGGGGCCTCAGCCCAGCTCCAGGCACAGACACCCCTCCTCCTGAGATGCTGGCAATGGGCAAGGACCTCTGTCCCCATCTGTGGGGACACCAAACCCTTATTCCCTGGCCCTGCAGCCTGTCCCTGCTGGGCAAGAAGCAAAATGTATGAAAATACTTTAATTATTTCTTTTAAGTTGTTAAGAAATAAGGTCATATTGTTTTTCTTTTACAATCTCAGTAAAAAAAAAAGTTCACATTAGTGCAGGGGGCCAAGGCAAGGATCTCCCCTCCCGGAGGGCAGCCACTCAGTAGAAACGCTTGTTGCGCTCCTGCCGCTTCTGAAACACTACGGCCCCTACCACGGCACACACGATGATGCCCAGGAGTGCACACAGCAGCAACAGGAACACCCGCCACCCAGTCAGGGGCCCGCTGCGGAAGTTCCCCGTCGGGTCATCCACATTGTCTGAGGGAGAAGAAAGGGGGAGTTGAAGTGGCAAAGTGGAGAGGTCAGGCAGCTCCCAACAGGACAGGGCAGGGCAGTGGCCCTGGTGAGGCCCCTATCCCACCCCCAGGTGGAAGCTGTGGCTGCACACAGCTGTACCGGTGACGGGCTGGAGAGTGGACAGAGGGGCAACCTTGAGGATCCCAGAAATCAAGGCCTGGGATGCCTTTCAGCTGGTGGACGCTGGATTCCTGGGCTCCCCGAGAGCCAGGTCAGCCTGGGGAGGCCCAGGACCTGCTTTCACAAGCCCACTCCCCACCCTAGTGCAGTGGTCTGAGGTCCCCATCTGCAAAAACACAGCTCTCGCCAAACACTGCCCTGGCTCACACCTGGATGCATTTGGTGGCTCCTAGAGGGTCCCAGGCTCCCACCCTGTTCTGTTCCAGCCACACCACTCCCCTGCCCACTAACCCTGTCAATGACTCTGAGGAGTGCCAGGCCTGGGCCTGTAATTCCAACCACCCTGACATATGGCTCTCTTCTCAGCCAGGCCTGGAATTCAAGCCATGAGCCCACCGACATCCTCCTGTCCCAAAAAACCTGACCTAACGGGCCTGCTGTCCCACCACTGGCCCCTTTCCACCCCTACAGAGTGACAGTAATGCCATCTACTGAAGCAGGAGATCCCAAGCAGAGGCACTTCCCACAGGTGCCTCAGCCTCAGGGCTCCCAACATCCCTCTGCCCCCTTCTCCGCTTCAGTCACTAGACTGAGCCCTGGGGCAGCACCCATCACACAGCTAGGCACTGAGTGGAAGCTTGGAATCGTCTGCTGAAGGAATAAATGGTTCAACAAGTCTGAAAACGGGTTAATCACCTCCTGGCCAACCACATGGGGTTTTTAGGTGGGTAAGAGTAGACCAGTTTCCTGAGTCTTTGACAGCCAAAAACATTCGACCAAAGTGGCAAGACAGTGGCCTATGGCAGGGTTTGTATGACTCTCAAAATACTTAAAAGTAACCTGAATCTTAAAAAAGTGAGATGTCACATAAAACGCTGGGTTCCACTCCAGCTCACACTCTGCAAGGTGATCTTGGGCTGGGCTGAGAGTTCCCTCAGTGCCCTGGCCCTGGCTCAGCCTGTGTGCCATTCCCTGCTGGGCCCACAACCATGACTTCAGGGCTCATGGTATGGATTTCTCCACACACAGGGGCCTTAGCAATCCAGCCAGAATCCCTACTCTATGAGGACAAAGTCATGACTAATTAGTGCCATGGGAAAAGACCAGGCTTTGGGGTTTTGCAAAACTCAAGTTCAGATCCTGACTTTCAGTTTCCTTGGCTAGTGGTAGGACCTACTTCCTAGGCCATTCACTGAGGTCAGCATGTGCACCATCAGTGTCCTGCACATCACCTACACCAACAAACTGGCCCCTGTGGCATTACCTGCCGTTACCCCAGCGCCAAGTATGGGAGAAAGTGAAATCTAGGTGCTCACACTGCTCATTAGCATGGCTTACTGATCCAAGAGCCCAGGCCACAACCAGAGCCAGCCCCAGCAAAGGCAGAGGGACCACAGGCAGGCACCAACACTGGCCTTGGCCCAGCTCCAGACCCAAGAAGGCCCAGAGTGGGAGGGGCCATGAACATGTACCTTTGGGCGACTTGAGGAAATTGACGCTGGGCTCGATCTTGGTCCAGTCGATGTTCTCCTCGTCAGGGGTGTGTTCTACCATTAACTGGAATAGCTTCATGGAGATGATGTCGTGATTGTCTGTAGAACCAAGTGTCAGTTTAAAAGGGTCCCGAGCCCACCTCAGGACACATGGCCTATGCGACCCCCAGCCACATAGGTGGCCAGGTCCCCCGGGGAGAATCATGCTCCTGCCTGGCTGAGGGCTCTGTCCTGATACATGGTCAGCAACTGTGCCTGAGGAGATTTGGGAAAGGCTCAGTCAAAACAGTCCAGGCAGGAAAGAACCTCTGCTTGATCACCCCATTTCTGAGATTGGGAGGCTAAGACAGAGCCAAGATGGAATCTAAGGAAAGGCTTGGAAAGGGGAGAGCCTACAGAGCAAAGACCTGGCAGTCAGGTGGGTAGACAAGCAATACCAAAGAGCCCAGGGTGTGCAGCCCCGGGAGGGTCAGGGACACACACCAACTCTGAGGTCAGACTACAGTTCCCATCTGAGCTCTGCTGCCTCCTGGGTGTGAATCTGGGGAAATCCCTTCAATGCTCATATTCCCAATAGTTTTCGCAGTGTGAAAATGGAGAGACCACTAACTACCTAAGTATACATCACATGACTTTACAGAGAGCATGCAGGTGTCTGGGGGGTGTGTGTGTCCGTATAATTTTATTGTCTTTTTGTTTTTTATCCTCACCCGAGAACATTTTTCCATTTTTTTGTTGTTGTTGTTCAGATAGACTGGGAGGGAGAGAGAAAGAGAGAGAGAGAAACACTGACGTGAAAGGGACACATCGAGTGGCTGCCTCCCACACGACCCAAGCAGGGCCAGGGACAAACTGCAACCGAGGTACGTATGCGCCCTTAGTGGGAACTGAACCCGGGTCTCTCCGGACCGCAGGCCGACGCTCTAACCGCTGAGCCAAACCAGCCCGGGCTGCATATAATTTTAAACAAAGGAATCAGGAAAGGCCCCAATGAGGAAGTGACATCTAAGCAAACCTTGAAGATGAGAGTGAGACACAAGCACAAAGGCCTGAGGCAGGAGGGCACTGGTGTCTGAACATCTGGAGGCAACATAAATGGGAAGCTGGAAGCAAAGAATCAGAGGTGATGGGGTAGAGGAGGTGCCGGCACTAAGACCTGGCAGGCAACTGCTGGAATGAATGGTGGCCTTGACTTTGAGAGAGCTGGGAGCCACTGCAGTGCTCTGAGCAGAGAAGCGAACTTTAATGAGATCGTTCTGGCTATAAGAGCTGGAAGAGACTGTCAGGGGCTGGCATGGAGGGAGAGGACCACTTAGGGGCTCCTGCAATTGTCCAAGTGAGGTGGGATGGTGGGCTGGGTCCCCCAGGTAGTAAAGGAGGGGCAAGAGGTGGTCTATTGCACTGTGAACAAAGCTGGCAGGACTTGCCAATGGAAGACAGGTGGCATGTGACAGAAAAGGGAAGTCCAGAATGACAATAAGGTTTTTTAGCCTGAGCAACTAGAAGGACATAGGTGTCATTTATGTCCTAGTGGCAAGATGTGGTCTTCAGTTGCAGGCTTATAAAGACTTAAGACACCTGTCAGGCATCCAGGTGGAGATGTTGAACAGGTTGCTGATGACACTGGGCTGCATATGGAAATCTGGGGTCTATAGCCTCCAGATTCAGTCCTCCTAAAGAGAGGGAACGATCACCGAGGACTGTCAAGGACTGAGCCCTGGGCATGCCAAAACTGACAGACGATGCAAAGAGGAGGAAGAACTTCCTGGAACCAATGCAGGAAGTTCAAAGGAAAGTGATCAGTTGTGTCACCAGCTCCTGACAGACCAGGGAAAACCAAACCTAAGACTTAATGCCCTGCGCAGCCTACTCACCAGACAGGTCACCAGTGCCAGCAGAGGCTCCAAAATAGTAGCCTGTGGGGAGGCGCACTCCAGTGATGTCGATGCAATTCTTCCACTCATTCTTGTCCTCCAAGTCAGTCATCACCTGAGGCCAAACAGCAGGTAAAGCACGCCCCAGGCTCAGACTGCTTACCTACCCCTGCAAAGCCAGTGCAGGCAGAGGACAACCCCACCACCAACACCTCCTGCTCACCGTCAGACGACCCCGAGAGTAGCGCACAGCCAGAAAAGTGTCATGATCACGGTTGCGGAAGTCAGCCGTGCAGCCTGCCAGTTCAGTCCAGCGGCCATCCTTGCTATGGTCGTAGGACAGGGAGCCATTGTTCACCATCACCGAGATGTACGGGAACACACGCTGAGACCAAGACACTGGTTACATCCCAGCCTTTGGAAGCGGCAGGGACACCCACCACCCCAATCCCTGGAGGCACCTTTGTGCTAGGACCAGGGAGAAGTTCCAGCCCCCAGCCAACTTCCCAGTCCTTCCTGTCCTGCTCTATGGAAGGGAGTAGGTGCCTACCTCCATCGTCTCATCGTTGGGGTATGTGTCCAGGAAGATGGCTAAGCCATGGAAGTTGTCTTTGCTTCCAAACACAGGCCCTGGAATTAGAAGGAGATGCTCTATTCATAGGGAAAATTGATGTTATACCTGGGTAGCCTAAAGGACAAAGTAGTGCCAGTCGGGGTGGTCTCAGGGATGTGGCACAGAGGACTCAAGTTTGAAGCCTGTACTGTGAGGTGACAGCATCTGGCCATGTGCTCTGAGGTGTCAAGTGCCCAAAAAGTATCCAGCCTGTGAAAACCAGGTAGCTACGCAGAAAGCCCCATCTTCTAACCCAGGGGTAAGCAACTTTCTGTCAAGATCCAAAGAGAAAACATTTTGGGCTTTGTCGGCCACATACAGTCTTGGTCAGTCTTCTTTGCTTTTGCTTTTTATTTATTTAATTTTTAAAAAATATGTTCTTACTGATTTTTCAGAGAGAGGAAGGGAAAAATAGAAACATTAATGTGAGAGAGAAACATAGACTGGCTGCCTCCTGCATGCCCCCCACTGGGAATCGAGCCCAAAACCCAGGCATGTGCCCTGACCAGGAATCAAACCCAGACTTCTCAGTCCATGGGACGACGCTCAATCCACTGAGCCACACCGGCCAGGCTATTTATTTCATTTTCAAAACAAGATTTTTTAAATTGATTTTTAGAGAGCAAGGAAGGGAGAGGGAGAGAAACATTGATGTGAGAGGGAAACATCAACTGGTTCCCTCCTGCACACACCCCCGCCAGGGATGGAGCCCACAACCTGGGCACGTGCCCTGACCAGGAACCAAACCAGCCAACTTCAGTGCACAGGACTATGCCCAACCAACTGAGCCATACCAGCCAGGGCTGCTTTTGCTTTTCTTCTTTTAAATCCTCACCCAAGGATATTTTTCCATGTATCTTCAGATAGAGTGTGAGGGAGAGAGAAAAACATCGACATGAGAGGGACACATCAACTGGTTGCCTCCTGCACAATCCCAACCCAAACTGTAACTGAGGTACATGCCCTTGACCAGAATCAAGCCTGCAACTCACTGGTTGGCAGGCCAACGCTCTAACCACTGAGCAACCGGTCATAGCTGCGTTTGTTTTTTAAACCATAACTCTCTAAAATGGTAAAACCATTCTTAGTTAGTGTACAGTGCCAGGCCATCATCGAGTACAGAGTTGAGCTGCAGAATCCAGCCCCTCCTCTTCCCAAAGGGACACTCCCAGGGTTCCTCAAGGAAGAGCAGCAGCACCCTAACAGGAGAGTGCAGATTGAAGGATCCTCAGCCACAGATGTCCCCACATAAGTGAGTGCTGCCCTACCTGGCATGAGGCGGTCCCGAGTGTACCACAAGGCAATGCCGTCTCCGTGGAGATTCTTCTTCCCAGCACCGTGAACTTTGAAGTGAACATGCATCTCCCAGTCTTTAAGGAAGCAAGGCTGGAGGGAGAGTAGAGAGGGTTGCTCTGAGTTCTCTGGGCCTTCCTGACAGTTGGAGGTGACCCAGCACAGACCCTGCCCCAACAAAGACTAGGCATTCCTTGGAACAGGGCCAGGATGCAATGTCAAAAGTACCACTGACCAACAGACCCTCCAGCTTTCTTAGCACAAAGTAAGGCGGTTGCTGGGCCTTCCAGGTAAGGAAGGGGAAGCCACACACTGTCCCAAGGCTGCCTGAGGCTCAAACCTTACCCAGCCCAGCACCAGTCTTCTCCACTTTGATTTACTTTCCTCAAAACCAGCCAAATCCATCAGCCCTGTGTTCTCTGCATCCCCACTGCTCTTGCCCTGAGATCTTGTGAAAGGATTACTATCCCTATTTGAGATATATATACTTTTTTTTTAGAGCAAGAGGGAGAGGTGAGAGATAGAAACATCAACATCAGTTGGCTGCCCCTGCTGGGGATCTAGCTCACATCCTGAGCATGTGCTCTGACCAGAATCAAACCAGCAACTTCGTGATGCATAGGTTGATGCTCAACCACTGAGCTATACTGGCTGGGCTGAGCTATATATTTTATAAAACAGAAAACACATTCAAAGACAAAATAATTTGTCCACAATAGGCAAGCAGATGGTCTTGAATCCCATCCAGGTCTGTCTAATGCAGAAACTGTGCTGTTATCTACACCTCCCACTGAACCTGCAACACAGGTACGTGCCCTTGACTGGGAATTGAACCTGAGACCCTTTAGTCCACAAGCCGACACTCTAACTGCTGAACCAAACCAGCTAGGGCGGCCTTCAGGTCTTTAACACAAACTGCATCAGGTCCTTTCCAGCCTCCCACACCCACTATCTTCCCTTCTAATCGACCTTCCAAACTGAGGGACTCAAATCTAGGTCTGGTCGACTCTAAACCCCAAGTTCTTGGCTAGACTACCTCCTGACCCTACAGTCCCAGCGTGGTGACAGCAGCAGGGCTAGAGGCTGGAAGGGGCATGCCCTGGAGCCTCTTGGCTACCATGATCTAAGGGAAGGCAGATGCTCCCTGGCATCCAGGGACAGAGCTGGGCACTGTTGCAGCAAGGGAAACAACCTGGCCTTCTTACACACCAGGAACCTACTCATGAAAACTATAGTGTGACACATACTTTGATAAGAATCCACTCAGTGAGATGACATGGAGGGACCTGGAAAGTGTCATCCTAAGCGAAACAAGCCAAACAGAGAAAGACAAGTATCATATGATCTCACTTATTTGTGGAATATAATGAACATAACAGTGTGCGGAATGGGGTAGCCCCAGAGACGTAGAAGTGGGGTACAGACTGACAATCCCCAGAAGAGAAGGTGGGGGGGGATATAAACCACAGAACTTATATGCATGTATGCATGGACAACAAAGCTGGGGAGAAGACAGAGAGGGAGGGGGAGAGGGGAATCAGTGGGGGTAAAAGGAGAAACACCTGTAACAAAAATAAATTAATTAATTTAAATTAAATAAATAAATAAAAAGAATCCACTCCGGCCCTGGCCAGTTTGGCTCAATGGTTAGAGCATCGGCCTGCAGTCCAGAGGGATCCGGGTTTGGTTCCTGCTAGGGGCACATACCTCAGTTAGTTTATCACCGGCCCTGGTTGGGTTGTGCGGGTGGCAGCCATTCGCTGTGTTCCTTTCATGTCAATGTTTCTCTCTCTCCCTGAACAAAAAAATGGAAAAATGTCCTCAGGTGAGGATAAAAAAATAATAATTAAAAAAAAAAATACAGCCCTGGCCGGTTTGGCTCAGCGGTTAGATCATCGCCCTACGGTCCAGAGAGAACCGGGTTCGGTTCCTGCTAAGGGCATGTATCTCAGTTGCAATTTGCTCCTGGCCCTGGTTGGGTCGTGTGGGTGGCAACCACTCGATGTGTCCCTTTCACGTCGATGTTTCTCTCTCTCTCTCCCCCCCTCCCACTCTATCTGAACAAAATATTGAAAAATGTCCTCGGGTGAGGATTAAAACAAAATAAAATACAAAGGCCCATCAGATAGGCAAATGAAAACAAGATATTGTTGACCTATCATATTGGCAACTATTAAAAAGATCATAGCCCTGGCCAGTGTGGCTAAGCGGTTACAGCGTTGGCCCACAGACCAGAGTTTCAGGTTCAGTTCCCACTAAGAGTTCGTGCCTTGGATACGCTTTGTCTCTGGCCCCAGTTGGGGTCGTGCAGGTGACAGCCAGTCAATGTTTCTCTCTTTCTCTCTTCCTCCCTCTCTCCCTCCCGCTCTATCTGAAGATAAATGGAAAACAAATAAATAAATAAAAGATCATTAATGCTTCTGTGGACAAGGATGGAAAGAAACACACTCAACCATTAGGACAGTGAATGTTCCCCACCCCTGTCTTCTGGAGGGCAATTTCACTGTTGCAGTCTTTTTTTGTTTTTTGTTTTTTTATCCTCACCCGAGAACATTTTTTTTTTTTTGCATTTATCTTCAGTTAGAACAGGAGGGAGAGAGGGAGGAAGAGAGAGAAACATCGATGTGAGAGAGACACATCGAGCAGCTGCCACCCACATGACTCCAACTGGAGCCAGGGACAAACTGCAACCGAGGTACATGCCCTTAGCGGGAACTGAACCTGGGACTCTCCAGTCTGTGGGCGGAAGCTCTAATCACTGAGCAAAATCGGCCAGGGCGGCTGTTGCAGTCTTTTAACAGGACCAGGCAGAGCAATAGCACTTACATTTAAAGATATCAAAGACACTGTTACAAACAATATCAATGTTATGTTCTCATATTTGAAAAAGAAAGGAATTCATATATGTGTAGAGAAAGAAAAAAATGATAGGAATGATAGGAATATGAACCATTAGCAATAGGGAACTTTGGGAGGAGAACAACAAAGAAGGTTTACTTTCTATGTATGAATTTTGTATAATGAATATATTACCTATGTAATCAGATAAAAAAATAAAGACCTTTACATCCCATCATGGGCAAACTGGCTTGGGCATTCATGAATTCATCAGACTCAGTATTCCGGCTCTGGGCACCAGAAACCTAGAAGATGGGACCCAGCCCTGGCCCCTGAGACAGCAGGCACCACACGTCTTCATGTGAAATCAGCCTTCCCTGTTCTTGACAGTTCACTGTCTCTGGGAAAAACTGCAGATTCTGGAGGGTCAAATAGAGGTGATGAGAACCAGCTCTCAAGGACAGATGGACAAAGAATCTGAGTCCACAGCCTGCTGAGGAAGTGGAATTCTGTTCTGGTGATTCAGCCGTGCTTTGGGTTGGGACCACAAAGACAGTAAGCCAAAAATAAGAATGAACAAGAAAGGTCCTCCCAGGGACTGTAACTCAGCAGAGTCCTCTCAATCCCTGAAATTAGACCAAAGAGAGTCATCTAGGCCTCATATTTTTTAAACAAAGAATCTTACAAATACAATATCTGGTACACAATAAAAAATACCAGGCACATAAAAAGACAAGATATGAACAAAAACCAGAGGGAGAAGAAAAGAGAGAGTGGAAGGAAGGAGGCTGACAGGAATTCTTAATATTAGCCTTTCAAATAAGTAGTTTACTATGTTCAAGAAGATAAAAAACAAGATTGAGAATTTTGGTAAATTACTAAATTCTTTTTTTTTTTAATCCTCACCCAAGGACATTTTTCCATTTTTTGTTCAGATAGAGTGGGAGGGAGAGAGAGAGAAACATCGACATGAAAGGGACACATCAAGTGGTTGCCACCCGCACGACCCATCCAGGGCCGGGGGACAAACTGCAACCAAGGTACACGCCCTTAGCGGGAACCGAACCCCGGTCTCTCTGAACCGCAGGCCGACACTCTAACTGCTGAGCCAAACCGGCCAGAACGATAACTAAAAATTTTTTAAAATCATACTATAGCCCGGCCGGTGTGTCAACCCATGCAGAGAGAGGTCACTGGTTCAATTCCTGGTCAAGGCACATGCCTGGGTTGCCAGCTTCATCCCCAGTAGGGTGCATGCAGGAGGCAGCCAATTGATGTTTTTCTCTCTCCTTCTTTCTCTTCCTTCCTCTCTCTCTCTAAAATCAATAAAGAAAAATATTTTTAAAAATGCCTGGCCGGCCCTGGCCGGTTTGGCTCAGCGGTTAGAGCGTCGGCCTGCGGTCCTGAGAGATCTGGGTTCGGTTCCCGCTAAGGGCACGTACCTTGGTTGCAGTTTGTCCCCGGCCCTGGTCGATCGTGCGGATGGCAGCCACTCGATGTGTTCCTTTCACGTCGATGTTTCTCTCTCTCTCTCTCTGTTCCTCTCTCTCCCTCCCACTCTACCTGAACAAAAAGATGGAAAAATGTCCTCAGGTGAGGATAAAAAAAAAAAAAAAAATGCCTGGCCGGTGTGGCTCAGGGATTGAGCATCATCCCATGGACTGAGAGGTTCCATTTCAATGCCCAGTCACAGCACATGCTTGGGTTGCAGGCTCGATCCCTGGTGGGGGGCGTGCAGGAGGCAGCCAATGTTTCTCTCACATTGACATTTCTACCTCTCTCTCCCTTCCCTTCTCTCAAAAAAAAAATTTTTTTTTTGGTATGGGCCCCTAATGGGAACCGAACCCAGGACTCACTGGTCTGCAGGCCGACGCTCCAACCGCTGAGCCAAACAGGCCAGGGCAAGAAAAGTATTTTTTAGAAAAATCATACTATATCCCAGCCAGTGTGGCTCAATGGATTGAGCATCACCCCATGGACTGAGAGGTCCCAGTTCGATTTCCAGTCAGGACACATGCCTGGGTTATGGGCTCAATCCCCAGTAGGGGGCATGCAAGAGGCAGTGGATCAATGTATCGCTCCCTACCTCTCTTTCTAATATTGATGCTTCTATCTTTCTCCCTACCTCTCTTTCTAAAAAAAAATCAATTTAAAAAAACATATTTAATTCCTCCACCATGGCAAGTAGTTGCAGCGTCGGGGCAGCGGCGATGGCAGCAGCAACGAACCTGAATATGGTGAGGGAACCATGGACA